TCAGTCCTGTGCCAGGGCTCTGTGCAAACTCTAGCTAGCTGACTGCGCATGCCTGGCAGCAGCACCAGGAAACACCATTGGCCTCCATTTGGAGGCTGATCGTTAGTCAGATCTCCCTCCACCCCCAAAAATACCTGCTTAAGGGGCGTCACTCTCTAGTTTTCAAACGGAGCTCATTTAAACCTTGGAAATAGAACCGGCTGCCAGAGTTCCCTGTTCCGCCGCCCTGTGCCAGTGACGTCAGCGCCACCTACCGAGCCTCTCCGGAGCCGCAGGTTCAGCGCACACTGGGGCGGCCCATGGACGTACTGCAGAGCGGTGGTGCCGTGAGGGCATAAACCAGGAACCTCTCAATCACCCCACAAAACCGCAGTGAGGAGTTCCTTTCCATTCTCCCATCGTATCTCACTCAGACACAAGAGATCTTATGTAAAGTTGAGGAGGCTGGACATCCATAGGAGCAGCCAGCCTCCAACATCCCTCAAACCGCCTGGTTTGAGTTTGAACCTCTGACCTTGAGGTTCGCAACCCGGATGCCCAACCCACAGTTACCAGGGTTCCTTTCTCCTGTAACTCCCAGCAAATAGTGATAACGGGGTCAACACTGAACGATTCTCCGGTTGAGTTTCTGCCCATGAAAGGTCACTGTTTTATGAGCCGTCGAGGCAGCGCCCACTCAGTGGCCCTATGCCACAGAAAGGGCCATTGCCCAGCCCTGCACCATCCTCACAATTGTTATGTTTGAGCCACTGTTGCAACCACTGCGTCCATCCAGCTTGTCAAGGGGCGGCCTCTCTGTGGCTGCCCAGGCATGATGCCCTTCCCCGGGGACTGGCCTCTCCTGATGACCTCTGAGACAAAGTCTCACCATCCTGGCATCTACGGAGCATCCCGGCTGTACTTCTTCCAAGACGGAGCTGTTTGTTCTTCTGGCGGTCCACGGAACATTCCTTACTCCCCCTCACCGGCACAATGCAGGGCATCGATTGCCCTTCCATCTTCAATCTGACTCAGTATCCAGCTTTCACGTCGTAGGTGGCGGTGGAGAAGACCACGGCTTGAATCGGGTGACCTTAGTCCTCAAAGCCACAGCTTTGCGCCTTAACACTTCGTGGGCTCGGGACTGTTAATTTCCCCCATGTTATGGGTGAAAAACGGAGGCTAGCAAAAGTGCAGTGATTTGCTCCAGGCTACTAAGTAGCAGAGCCGGACTCCGCTGCTTGGCCGCATCATCACAAGCACATCCTGGCGGTTCTGTGGGATGAGGATCGGATGGCGGTGAGGTGGCTTCTTTCGGTTAAGAAGCAACTTGCGAGGCGTCCGCTGCTTCTAATCGCTTTACGAATTGTAACATTTCATTAGTTGGGGCCGGGGTGGCAGGAAGGAGCCCCTGTAGACGTGTGTATACACTGAAGGCGGAAAATAAAATTCTTCTCGTTTGTTGGCAGGGATCTTGTGTTTCTGGGATTGTGTCTGAGGAGCCCAGGTGGTGTAGTGGTTACAAGTTGGGCTGCGATCCACAAGGTCAGCTGTTCGAAAGCCCTAGGCGCTCCGCAGGAGAAAGTTGAGGCTCTCTACTCCCAGAGAGAGTCACGTCTGGGAAACTCACAGGGGCAGTTCTCCCCTGTCCTGTAGGGTCGCCGTCAACTCTGGCAGAGGTTGGTTGAGTTGGGGATCGTAGATTTCTGGAGGGAAAAACTGACATGCAGTCAAAGCCTGGAAGGCTGTAGGAGTTCCTAATGTGAGCACTATTCAGAGAGACGAGGGAACAGATCTCGTCCGGTCAAGAAGCTGGGCTCAGGTTTCCTCGTTGGGGACACCCCAGACAGACAGAGCCTTGGACGGTGGACACCTGATTGGATTGTGCACCCAAACCCTCAAAGTATTATTCCACAGCTGCCTGTCCAGTTCAAATCTCATGGGAGCAAGATGCGCCTCCAGTTGTCAGCATCTACACGTGTGCGCGTGTACACACACCACACACCAACCCCACACACACATCACATACCACACACACACCCAACCACACACCACACACCACACACACATCACACACACCACAAACACACATCACACACACACATGCACACACACACCAACCACACAAACACATACCACACACCAACCACACACACATCACACACACATACCAACTACACACATACATCAAACATATACACCCAACCACACACACACACCACACACCCAACCACAAACACCACACACATGTATACACACACCACACACACCCAACCACACACATGTACACACACTACACACACACAAACACATCACACACACCCAACCACACACATCACATACACACCACACACACCCAACCACACACACAATACCACACACACACCTAACCACAATACCACACACTCACACCCAACCACACACACACACATATACACACACCAACCACACACATACACCACACACCAACCACATATCACACATACACACCACACACACCCAACCACAGACACACACATCACACATACACACACCACACACACAACCACATACTCAACCACATACACACACCAACCACACACACACACACACCAGCAGCCTGCCACCAGGCTTTTGTTCAACCTTTAACTAGTCAGTAGACCTGTCCCCATCCCTCCTCAGCTCCTCGGCATCCCCTACCCACTTCCACCAAGGCTCATCAGCAACCCGGACTCTCTGCACCTGTGGTCCTGGACTCTAAGCACCGGCTGCTCAGTGCCATTACTGTGGCCGTCTGGTCCAGCTACACCAGAGGTTCCCCAACTGACTTGGCCTCAGTACCACCTGGCAATGAATCCCAGATCAAGTGGCGG